TGCACTTAACACTCCAGGAACCTATTTTTGTCACAGACAGGACACAGGAGCTCAGGCAAACAAGTTACAGTTGCTTCCAGGATGACAATAAGAAGGTTGCGAGATAAGTTTTTCTTAATCTGAAAAATGCCAGCTTGTCCAAAAGGTGAGGTGGCTAGAGCTTTGCTCAGCACCAAGTCATTTGAAAAGAATTTTGAGGATGGTTGGTCATTAGAACTAGGTTCAATTAGCACTACAGGTCTATCAGTTTCATCATATTCAAAGGTCTGGATCTGGGTTGTGTTTTTGATAGTAGTAGTAGATGGAGTTAAATCAACAGTTCCAGAAGTTTCATTTAGTATATGAGCAGCATTAATGACTGTGTCTGGGGCTGGAACCTCTTCCATCCGGAGTTCCATATCTGCAATTGACTGGAAACCCTCAAAATTGGCATTTGTTTTCCCCTTTTTGCGTCTTTTAACAGTACTGAAGCTTGATGTTGATGACTGTCCCGCACTGTCAGTGTCAACTAAACGGTCTGAACCGCTAGCTAAGGGGGCTGTAGAGCTTGCAATTTGAGACAAAGCAGGAAATTTATCACTCATTCCAGGGTGATTGTCCTGGACGATTTTGGTGCTACTACCAGTATCTATTAAGGATATCGCTTTTCCGTCGGCATGATGATCGGTTTTGTTATCACGATCAGAATGTTTTCTTACCAGTTGTCCAGGAGATAAAGGTTGCGATGCAACGCTTTCATCGTCGGAAGAGCGGGAGGACCAGGATGTATTGCCTTCTTTTTTGCGACGCTTGCCGGTTTTCATTTCGCCAGTTGTACTTACTAGCGAAGGTCCCAACTCGGCTTAATTCAAATCTCAATCTCTGGTTTCCAAAGGAAGGCGCTGCAACTAGAGATATTCACTCCACAGTCTCGCGTTTGAAAACCTATTCAAGCTTCATGTTTGGCACGGTTTATAGAATACAATAACTGGATGATCCTGCTCGCCCAATCAGAGGTTCGCCGATGCAGCTCTATGAATTTAATTTTTCTGTTTAAATTGAAAGAAACCTATTTGATGAGAAGTCAACATAACCGAAAATTTTCATTATTCAACTGAAAGTACAGTTTTGGCCTAGCGTGAACGTAGAAAAACTATAGGCGAACGAAACTGTCTAAACACCGCTGTGGAAGTGTCAAATCCCGGATTGTTATCGAAATATTTATGTAAACAATAATTTAAATGTAAAAAATCTTCATTAGAAATATATTAACGCCCAAGAAATAGTTTTGACGTTATTTTAAAATTCATTTGATACAAGTACATTCCAATGATCATTCGATTTTGACAACACGATGTTTAAATAATGTCTTTAGGCTTCCTTCTTGGTCTCTAGCTTAGATATAACTGTTATTTGAAGTCAGAAAATTAAAAAAAAACACACACGCGCACACACACCTATGGGCTCATCGGTAGAACCTAATTATAAGATAGATAGGTACTATCTATGCCTAAAAATTTAGAGTTTGCTATTCTTTGCCTCACTTGATAATCTATATTTTGTACCACACACCGCGTAATCATGACTAATATTACTTTCATTTCACTTATCTACAATTATCTAGCCACATAAGACTATAAATATGATCGGCAAGTAAATTCTATTATAAAAGCTTTATCACCATTGTTTCAAGAGACGGCCATTATAGGTTTTTAAATTGTTCGAATCTGTCAGCGCAATCATACGGTCATATATACTTTATTAACAAAACTATCGATTGTTACCTGTTAATTTGCAACATTATTTTAAGAAATTAACGAAACAAAAATAAACTAATTATAGACAAAAATCATTGATAGTTTTTTATTTTAAAATTATGCGTAATTCCAAGAGGAATTTTTGCGTGAAAATGTTTTCCTCTTGCTCATTTTGACCCTCACTTCTAATTTAACTTCCGCCGGGTGAGGTCGTCAACTCCAGTTTTGAAGAAGTAAGATGTACTGTTAATTACCAATAGAATTTTAAAGAATTAACATATAAAAAATATATTGCGTATATCAGGCGTGAAAATATAAGATTAGATGACTTAAGCCTATGTCAACTCCAGTTGTCAACTCAACCAATGACAGTTTTCTTGAAGATTGAGCTGCTATCGTCGTTCCAAGCAATGAAGGCGGAAAGCTTGAAATAGATTGTTGTATAATACACACAATACGATCATTGCGGCGTATTTCTATCATTGTATGAAACATCCTTCGAAAGGATCGATGAATGATTAACCGGAAACTAACTTACAAATAAAATACTTAAAAAAAACTTTTAATAAAAAACCACGTTTTTCTTGTTGACTAAAAAGTAGAAAATAAATTATGGCTCGCCCCAAAAACGTGTGTCGGGAAGATTTATTTCTGCGATGTTAAGAATCGGCGACAGGCCTACGGCTTAATAACGCTGAAACCGCTATTATTATTTATTATTATTATTATTATGATTAAAGCGAAAAGCACACAACACACGAATTTTGGAAACTTGATGGTGAAAATAGCCTGCATGCCGAATTTCAGACCTCTAGAGCAATAAGAAGTGGGCTAAGTTTCGTTGTCAATTTTAACAACAAACAAACGCGAAGCTGAGTAAAGAAAAACGTGTTAATTAATGCTATTTCTACTCAAAGATGCGCATGTATGAAAATTCTAAATCAAAGAAAATTTCTTAGTTACAACTTACAACCGACGACTCGACGAGTACCTAGTTTGTTATACGGGGAACGTGCTAATGAGCACTAAATCATGCAAAATTTGAAATTTAGGGGATAGAGCTTGTTTAGAGCTCAATGTATGCTATTGTTAATTGCAGATTATTAAAAGATCTACAGTTGATTGGTACAGGTGATTTTCTCGTAAATGACTTGCATTGCAGAAAAGTTTTCTAAGCTGCAATCACGTTGTAGTTGTAGAATCGCTGCTGGGATTGTGTTGTGCTGCCTTGAGTTCAACAACCAAAATCAAAACTATCCTAGTACTAGTAGAAATCTTTCAGTTGAGTGCCATCGCAACAGGCGCAACTTATTGAGCACTACATCCAATAAAGAAATCCATCCTAAGTTAGGATGGATTTCTTTCTGGTGCCAGACTGCACTGCCAGCTTCGACATAATGCTACGCATGTTGAGCTAAAAAAATTATCGTATACTGTGGCTCGGATCTGTGGGACGCAGTATAGACCCCTACATAGCCATTGTCCACAATTCAATATCTATTCCTTTCCGCTCGTAATCACGCTAAAGGGCATATTAGCCTGTGTGATTAAGTGCCTAAAGCCATAGGTGTCATTTCCTTTCCTGGATATGAATCAATCAGCCAGATGACATCAAGCCACCAAAGCAACGGCCGTGGGCAAATAGCCAAACTGTTGCGTGCTTCTATTAAACACAGCCTGGCGTTTTCGCGGCTTTTGAAAATAAGCGCCCGACATAACAGCGCCGTTACGTCACAGCCACTGCTTCATGGCGCTCTACTCCACCGGCTAAAGCGCAAACCGCCGTCCCTATAACGCCTTGCCCCGGCTCTCCCCCTTCGCAGCCAGCAGAAGGCTTTTCTCGTTGCCCGATCAGTAATTTGCCTGGCGCAATGGAGGGACCTAACCTAACCTGGCGCACAACTGATCAGCAATTGAAGAAAGCCTTATGGCTGTAAAGAAGGAGAGCTGGGGCATGGCGTTATAGTTCAAAGTTTCCCTCATACTTAATAGCTCAAAGTTTCCCTCAGAACTATGTACAAGAGTTGTTATTAAAAACACTATTTCAATTTGACATTTTTTCTGACCTTTTTTTACTTTTTCAGGGCATTTATGAATGTGCTGGCAGTCATCTCTGTTGTGTTGTCTCTGCACTTGAAATGTCATGGAAGAGGTGATGTTTTACAATGGATCTGAGGGTGAAGAGCTCACTCTAATTAATACTGAGTAAGTTGATTTGCTTTTGTTTCAAATTTCTCTAGATTTTTTGTACTGGTAGCATAATAAGTTTTCTACAAAACTGCTTCTATTTGCTCTCCAAATTTAGATAATTTATCAGTTTCTATGTTTCTTCATCCATACCTATATAAAGGTATATATGGTTGGGATATTTTCATATGAACTACATAATATGACACTAAACGCTATATTTTTTATATTAGTTTTTTAGACTAGAATTTATTTTTTGTTTGAATGGTCAACTCTTCTGCAATAGTTTCTTTTCTAATATTGTTCACACTGTTTTTTTCTTCTTTATGAGACATTTGTTGACACAAAATGTCAATATATACACTACATTGATGATGGGATGTTACAAAGTCATATGGATGTATGTGTACAGGTGACAACCCACTGAGGAGTTGAATTTTGTTTATTTCAGAGGTGGCATCATGTTGGAGCAGGGGGCTCTCACCTACACCATCCCTGACCAGCAGCAGCAAGCTCAGCTTCAACAGCCACACCGAGTGCAACAACGTCAACTGATGCACCAGCCCCTGTACAGCTTGAACAACCAGCAACAATATGTGTTTCAACACCAAGATACTCCTGTGGTTGCGCAGCAGCAGGTAACTTAATCTCAGTATGGCACTTAAATTTTTTCTGCTTCTTCTATTTGTGTTCAATTTTTCTTTTCTTAGTACTAGTTATTGCTTAACTTTCTTAGACCTTAGCTTGACAGCAATGTACATTCTGGCTTGAAAGCTTCTACCTGCTCTTGTCATTTCATTTCTATATTTTTGTCATTTCATTCTTCTACATTACATCTAACAATCTGTTCTTATCAACAACAATTGCAGCCACGCCAAGTGCAACTAATGCTACAGCAGCCAGCATATATGTACAGCCAAAACATCCAGCAACAAAACCAAGCTAGTCCTGTGATTGTGCAGCAGCAGGGGGCTGCAGGTGAGTGTCACGGGGGTGCGGGGGCTGCAGGTGAGTGTCATGGGGTGGGAGGGAGTAGGGGTGTATGGGTGGGGCATTTTTGCACCCCAATTAGAATTCAGAGTAGGGGTTATATAGTTCCAGTTGAGACATTAGAGCAGTTTTTGAGCAAGTTTAGAGCAGGTTTGGAGCATGATTAAAGAAGGTTTTAGGCAGGTTAGTAGCCGGATTGGAGAGAGTATGAAGCAGGATTGGGGCAGGATTGGGGCAGGTTGGGGCAGGATTGTAGCAGGTTTAGAGCAGGTTTGGAGCAGGTTTGGAGCAGGTTTGTAGCAGGTTTTTAGCAGGTTAGGAGCAGGATTGAAGCAGGTTAGGAGCATATTTAACGTAAGTATAGAGCATAAAACCGTCCTAAAAAGGACGTGTCGGCCATTTACCTGCTCCTCCACTGCTTCTAGCCTGCACTGCACGGCCGCTTCCCGGCTCAAACCCTGCTCCAAATTTTAACAATGACATGTGCCCCCCCCTCAACCCCCTTCCGCTAACCCCATTTTTCGCCTAAAGATGTTGCCCCCCACTCACTTAACCCCCCTCCCACTCAAGCAATTTGCCCCCCCCACTGACTATCCCCCTCTCCCTTCCCACAGGGTTCACCGGGCCGGCCTGGTTGGGACGGGCCCAAGGGAGACCCAGGGGACCCGGGGGGACTAGTGGAGGCTATGAATGGGGACATGGGGGAGCGGTGGCCCGATGGCAGCCCCCCGGACTACGAGCTCTTGTGAGTCATCTTGTTTAATTAATGCTTTTATATCATTAATATTAATGCTAATATCCAGTTCCAGACAGCGTTTCAGTTAACCCCCTTTTAACCCCCAGGTACTCTCTGGCCCTGAACACCCCCTTTTAACCCCCAGATACCCTCCCGGACCCTTTAACCTCCTATAACACCCTTTTTAACCCCCAGTTACCCCCCCTCCGGTCCTTTAATAATCTTTAACCCCCTTTTAACCTCCAGTTAAACCCCCGAACCCGACAACCCTGGACCTCCCAGATCCTTCACCTCCCTTTAACCCCATTTTAACCCCCAGTTACGTCACCCCCCGGACCCTTAACCCCCTTCAACCCCCTTTTAACCCGTTACCCCCCCCCTGCACCCTTAACCCTATTTAACCCCCATTTAACCTCCAGTTACCCCCGAACCCCATATCTGTCTTTAACCCTNGAAGATTTTTTGCTTCTGAAGATTTCTGAATCTTTTTTTTATGTCTTCTCTGCAATGTATATTGAGGAAATTTTTCTTGTCATCAACGACGATAAATCGGCGAACTATTAACCTGAAAATTAGATTGTAACATTTATTCTTTGTGCTGATAAATATGTTTAAACTATTGTATTGAAAAATTAATTCGAACTTTCATTGTTTCAGCCAACACTACTACCCATGCAGTACTTTCCTCTACATCAGTCCCAACAGCAGCTTATGCAACAAACCAGATCAGCCCAGCGCCTTCAACAGTGAGATCATTAGAAATTGCTATTTTGTGTTCTGAAACCTGCATTTGAGGCTTGGACTTGTTTTTGTTTTGCATCATGCTTCATCATGTTCCTTGCTAACGTTAAATTGCTAAAGTATATTTTAATTGCATTATACATGTTATTTTTATGGTTGCACAGAATTCCGTGCTTGAAACCATTATCAATAGTGATTACTATGTTTGACTGTCAGGGAGGGAGCAACACCTGACAATAACATGGGCAGGCAGCTTATCCAGTACGTTCCTACTATACCGCGACAAGTTCAGCCGTATCGATATGGCCAGGAAGAACCAAAGATGGTTTATTTAAATCATTTCCAGCAGCAAGGTGCTCAGCAGCAGCTCATTCCTGCACAACTCACGCAGCAGCAAGATGGTCAGCAGCCTCAGCAATTTGCTCTTATTCAATCGGTGGGTAGAATTTCCCTTTCTTGCTGTTTTAAATTGGTTTTCCAGTATTGAACCTAAGGTTTAAATTTTTAAAAATTATCGCAGTAAGGCAGAAATGGTACAATGTTACTGCAGCCCACATATAAAACTCACGTAATTGGCATGGAACTGTTCCGATAATGGGTGCGGTATAGATATTGATCTGATTTGAAATTAGACTTCTTTTATTTGAAACTTGAGTAGTAGTTTGGTCATGACTGAATTAATGTAATTTCCAAATGATGTACCGTATAACTAGCCTCTTTTTTTGCCTCTTGCCATCCATTTGAGAATGCATGACATGCGTACCAATGAGTTTTGTATTGTGTGCAGCCAGTGATGGAGCTGGCCCCTCACACTGCAGCGTCAGGACCTGGCCTAACGACGTCAGGCGGCGTGGTGAGGCCTCACCTGCGTCACCAACAGGTCGTCATGGCCGCGCCGCCTGTGTCGTCGTGTCAACAGCATATGCAGAACCCTTCTGAAGACCCGCGTCCCCTGGGGCTCCCTAGGGTACGGCGTCCAGCGCCTGGGCAGGGGATGAGAAATCCTGCTATGCCCAACAGAATGCCTCGTTGTGCTCAGCCCGGAATTGTGAGTTGTTTTAGGCTTTTTCTTATGAAACGGACATTTGATTATCCTGCGTAGGCTCTCTATTATTTACATTTCTCCTTTATTAAAATGTAGATATGTAGTTGTAATCGATGGATTTATCGTAAACAATTTTTATTGTGCTAGTGTTTAAACCATGAAGGTGATTAAACACCCTCAAGTGCCCTGGATTACCCCGTTCCCAGGGGTAATTGGGGATGCTTTTATTTTTTGTGTGGCACCTTACAAGTAGCATATCTATGTAATTTTTTTTATGGAGATGCCATACAATAGCCCTCTCAAAGTGCTTTAAAATGAGCCCAAACTTGTTTATGAAATGTTTCATGGTATTATGGTAAGAAGTTATTGATGAAAAATGTTAATAAGTTAAGTTAATATTGCTAAAGGTCTGCTTTTAAATTGCCAGGATCCTTCCATGCACCCCAAGGATCCTGGATCCCCTCCACCCTCCACCCAAAGGGAGAACCCTCCCCCATCAGCTGACCCCTTGGCCAATGACACCTCCCTGCACACTCAGGTACTGTTGTTATTATTTATTATTATCCCTTTATTTTTTATTATTGTCCCTTTATTTCATTATTATCCCTCTATTTTTATCATTATCACATTATGATTGAACAATAATTATACTTATTTTTATTATAATCCCTTCATGATTGAAAAAATTTATAACTAATTGATTATATGTACAATAATTATTTATAATTTTATTCCCAGATATACTGTACCTAGTATGAATTTTATATCATTTATTAATTAAAAAATTGTAAGCCTTTCATGAAAAAATCAACGCATGCACCCTAGGCTGCTGGACCCAAAATTCCATTGATTGCTTATGCACTAAAAATATTATGCGGTAACAAGTAAGCTGCCATTATGATAACATATTGGTAAAATTACATGATTAAATTTACAATTTTACATTGTAAATCAGAGCTACAATCAGCAACCTGCTCTGCATGCCACCAACACGACTTTGGTGCCAACCCAGCAGCCTCCACCATACACGCCATCTGCTCAGCAGTCAACTCAACAGATGGCGTGTCAACTCAAGCAGTCAACTCAGCAGCAGTCAACAGAAAATTCACTCAACACAAGCAGTCGATGCAGTACACCGGAAGTCCTCACTGGCATCGGCAACACTCTTATTAGATTGGCTGTGGATTTGGAACGTGAAAGAAAACAACATCGTTTTCATTCAACCCCCCTGTCGAGGGGCAGTGCTAGAAGAAGTCATGTTCCCGTATTCACCCGGCCCCCGTCTGCATCACCAATTTTCCCCCCACGACCCCCAGCACCCCCCCGTCGAGGCGTACGAGGCATCCCAGGAGGTGCCAGTAGTTCACGAAATA